CGTCCGCAACCTCTTCATCCGTTTCTAGCTCAATTGCACCTTCCTCCCTGCCTTCAACTTTGGTTGAGACAGCATTGACATCGGACGCCTTGGTCTCTATCTTTATTGCTTCAACTGAATCTGGATCTACAATTGGCTTCACCTTGGACCCACAGTCTCACAACGAGACAAAACCTGTCGGGCTGAGTACCGTAGCCAGAGGCAAATCGTTATCTTCTTTGGATATATCGAGAGACCCAGATCGTCTAAAATTATCTTCCTTTGGGGCTAACGACTCTCCTCAGGCCTTGTGCCGGCTCAATAGGCCATCGGGCTGTGTAATCTCTACGCCATCATGCCACATAGTTGCTACTATGAAAGATTGTCTAGAAAAGCTGGGCGAGACGGAGGAACAAGAAGAAGAAAAAAGAGGGATATCCTGTGGCTCTAGGTCTTCTGACTCATTCAGGCTATTGAATCGACCTTTGGAGGATGAGGAGGAGGTAGTGGAGGATGGAGAGGATGAAGGAGGGGAGAGTGTAATATTGAATAAAGGCCGAGTTGATGGTCTGAAGGCATCTTCAAACAACGGAATCGCTCGTTCCCCTGAAGATTTAGCTTTTAGGCGATCATTGTCTTCCCTTGGTGTTGTGAATGCTTTCAAATTGGCGGTTGAAAGTGAGCAACTTGCAACAACTGATTTTAGCCTTAGTGCTGACTTGACTTCTTTATCATCATCATCCTCAATCAGCAATATTCATGATAGTACAGGTTTAGAAGTTTCTCTTCCCTCCTCTCCTACCATCTTGACTCGGCCTTCACCTCTGATCCCTGCGCCGCTTGTTCTTACGCTACCTTCTCGGGCTTCCCTACCTGATACCCCGGGCTCCCTCATTACTCCAGTTGCTTGTTCCAACGATCCGATCGCCTTTCATCTCTCCACGCCTACATTCACCCCCACCCCTACATCAACATCTACGCACCTACAAACCCACACGCACATGCAAATTCCAGGATTATGCAACCTCGATAACCTTTCGGGACTGCCTACCCCCGTATCATCGGCCAACACTACCCCCGGAATGCTACCTTTACTGCTCAGTCCGTTACCCCTCAACACCATGTCTACTTCCAGCTGCAGTAATGGGAATACTATCGCTTCCATGGGAGTAAGCACATCTTGCTTTCTTCCCACTAATGGTGCTGTATCTCCTGCTACCTCTAATATATTCTCATCGTTCACTTGCACTACTCCGATAACTGCGTGCCTCACGGGAACCGCCTCTACCGTCCCATTTTCTCTTCTCTCACCCGGTTACTTGACTACGTCGTCTGTGGTCCCTCCTGTATGCTCTGGTATTGGTATTGATTGCCACATTGAACCAACCGGCCTAACTGTTTCAATGGCAAACGAGTCTGCGTCAACTGCGGCTACTGACGGTGGTTTTGGACTTGAACCTGAGCTGACTTCGCTGATTCCATTTTGTCCGCCCTCTAGTGTGGCAATTGATGCTGCTCAAACGTCTGCGGAGCAACAAAATTTGCAGCTGTTGCAAATTCACTCAGACCCCCGATTGGATGAGGAGAATATAAATAGTAAGAACTCCAAGCATCTTCAGGAGCTCCAAGTTGTGAAGCTGAATTCAAAAATGGATATTCGGGTTGATGAAGATGGCGAAGAAGCAAAGAGGATAGAAGAAGAAGATGAGGTAGAAGGGGAAGAGGAGTCATCAACTACCAAATGTAACTTCTCTGAATCCACACCGTTGCCATCAGTCACTGGATCTTGCACAGCGACAATCCGAACCAAAGCGCAGTCGGAGAATTCTCCAATTCCTTCACAAACTCGGAAAAAGGCCTCATGGCGCAAGTTGCCTACTGGTCAAATGCTCTCTGGACGACGAGAAACAGAGTCTGATCTTCTAGGCGGTAAGTCGACTTGATTATATCGAGAAAAGCTGGGTTTCGAAGACCCTCTTAGTTATTTAGTTTGACTCCATTGACTTTCCATTTCGAAGGAAAAGGTAGTTGGAAAGTCTTTGTAATTTAGTCTTGAACTTGAAGGAGGATTGTCTTTAGTGAAGACTGTAGGATTGTGCGAGGAACTTCTCGGCTTATTCTCCTGCGGCTACGACAAACTCATGCTAAGCTTTCGTGTGTCATGTGACAGACATCATTAGAGCAAGAAATAATACTTTGCAGAATAGCGTACTAATATACAAAAGCAAGATAATAGGTGGCGGTCCATAAATTTTCTTTTTATATCTAGATTTACGGCCTTAATGCGGCCTCATGATTTGGTTAGCTACTTCATGCCTGCAGATAAGTAAAGTTAATTCATGAACGGGAAATGGATGCGGTGGCTTTTGTTTTCTTGCATAACTAAACCGGCATACGCTCACTTAATGTTTAGGTATGTGCTGTTGTCTCTTGTGTGTATGAAGTGTTCATGTTATCTGAGATTGATAGTCTTAGCTTAATTCGAGGGTAATTTAGACTCCTGTTGCTCAGTCGCTCTTCCTTCTTCCCCCCTCTCTAAGCCTTTTCAATAGCCATAAATAGTTTCTACTCAATTTCCTACACCTGTTCTTCCTATTCAGGATGTTGGTTGCTTTGTTAATTTCCATAAACTCCTTGAGCTTACGCTTCGATGTGAAGCCTCCGAAAAACGTGTTTTTGATTATTCTATGGGTTGCTTTATTTATTTATTAAATCGACACTCCTTGTTTTCTGTGTGATAATGTTCCTCTACATATTATATGAAATTATATAAGATTCCAGTTTATCTATATCGAAAGTACTAAGCTATTATTTTCCAGGCTAATGGGGTAATATTTTCATTAGGAGTATTTGGGAGTTTATTAGTAGTAGTCGTCGTCGTCCTCAGTTATCATGAATTAGTTTCAGTGTTAGCTTTCTAATCAATGGCTAGCTGATATCCCTTAATTTGCTTTTTTCACTCATTTTGATTCAATTGGCTCACATTGTCGCAGTCTATCCAGATAATGACATTTATTTTGCTTGGCCTGAGTTTTTTTTCCTAAAACTCTTTCCAACGCATCGATTTAGGATAGAGCTCCTGACAACCTATTAATCAAGAATTAGACTTATCTGAGTTACCTTGGATGTCATCGTTGCCTAGTAACGAATAAAAGTTAAGCCATGGTAGACAAAATCCTTTACCCGTTTTTCCTCTATTTTAGCCGCTTCTCTCGTTAGGGCTTTCCGTTAGACGTACGAATTCTTTGGTTAAGCTCTCCCCAAAACCTCGATGTTACCAACACTGGTTTTATCAACCAGCATTGAATACTTAAATTCAGCCAGATTTCTATAGCTCAAATTCATCATATTAGAGATAGAAGTGGTTTGATTTCATTTGCGAGACTTGGCCGTATTGTCTGGTAGGTCTAGAAGAACCCACCTTGTCCAGAGCTCTCTGCCATAGTATTATTGATAATTTCCTGTGTCGGACCGTGGACTTAGCGAAAATTTAACATATCGCTAGAGCAAACTCGGAGGATATCAGAGAATAGCAGGATCGTCAAAAATAAGAAGACTAGATCAAGGAATTATTTCGAACATAAGAACAAGAAACCGCAAGGAACAATAGGAAATCAACTGGAGACGTATACAGGGAGCCTGATCAAAGCTTGTAGACAACTATAGTATTTGGGGGTTGGGACACGAGAGACTATAACACAGGCAGGCCACAGACTTTGCATTATAGAAAGAAGCGCAAGAGATGCATCGGGGACCAGAGGTAGTTGGATCAATACATGGGTTTGATCATAGACGTGGTTTGCGAAGTACAGGCTTGGCTACGAGATCTATCCTGTTTACATACCAAACAGTGATTAAGCTATCGGCAGCATTAAGTTATTTTTTTATCCTGCTTGAGAATTCAGACCTTGGGGCTTGCTCAGTGAGGTTAGAGTATGTGTGCTATCTTGGGCTTGAAGAAGAGTTTTAAACATAACGCCATCTTGGTCTTCACGTCTTCTATTATATTCAGTACGATATTTTTTTCCCTTCCAATTCTTTACTTTGTCTGCGAACTTTTTTCCAGAATTATTAAGTTGTCTCTATTTTATCCAGTGCTATTATCATTTGTCGAGGGTAACTGAACCGAGTCGGTATTTTAGTATCCCTCTTAACCGTATAATTATTACTTCTAAAATTATTGTTCATGATCTGTTATGGGACTCAATTGTACGCTCTCATCGCCTATGGCCTACTTCCAGTAGTATAAATGCGTAACTTGCTTTGGTTTCTGAATAGGCGTGTTTCCTGAGTTAGAAGTTAAAACTGCTAT